GAAAAGTAGAACTCCTACAAGAACAGTGTGAGTTCATTAAAGTCATGAGAATAAAGGAATGCCATATTTCATAAATGGAAAATAAAAGTTTAATACTGACTATTGTCAAATGCAAACTTTTCCTCAAAGATTAGACAAAAGATATTCCAGTTTTGTTTAAATAATGAAACATCAAAAACTGAATAATGTTGATATAGATAATTAGAAATAAATTCTGTCCAGCACTGGATATGGAATTATAAAATTGTACTTACCTTTTGGTGGAGAAGCTGCTGTAGCATAAGTTCTTTCACTTGGAGATAAAAACCATCAAATGCCATATTTCATAAATGGAAAATAAAATTCTGGCATTTGCTATAAGTTGAGTAAAATACAGAGTGCGAGGGATAAACTGTTGTCTAAACTGCACAAAAATGAATATAGCACTGACATCTCATTTTAACAGATATATTTACCAAAATGCTGCCATAATCCTTGCCTTCAGTTCATCCTTGGTGTTACAAAGAGTTTTGTTGGTCTCTCATTCAACTGTAACCCACACATAATAATCAAGGGGGCTGCAGTCTGGGGAGCTAGGTGGCCATATGTAAGGCGTGATGTTGTCGCAAAAATTGTCTGACAGCCATGACTAATTTCTCCTGCTTGTGTGGCATGGTGCAGCACCTAGTTGCAAGACTTAGGGTCTTCCACCAACTTGACCTGTGGCAGCACTACCTCCTTAAGGCACTTGATGTAGGCCGCCATGTTGAGTCTGAGACCCCATGGGAAGATGAATGGAGGCATAATGTCACTGTCACTCCAAACACCATGAAGTTGACTGGATATATCATCTAACTCTTTCTGAATCCTCTGCACTCTTTTCAGACACTCAAACACTCTGAAATGTTGGTATTGGAGACTTCTGGCATGAATATCAAGCAGTACAGCATGCCATTTCCAAATTTCTGTCAGGGTGAATTTCATCAGAGTATTCTTTTTCTCACAGACAATGCTCAATTGACCATACTATACAGTGCAGTTGGTAAAATCAAAAACAAACAACACGCATGCGTGAAATTAAATATATAAAATGGTGACAATTTACCCATTGCACCATGTATATCAGAATCTTTTTTTTTTTTTCATTTAATTATAATCATCCTGTGCCGTGTAAAATGTCAAGGTGATGGGTGTAAAGTGTTTGCCAGTCAAGAGCTTATTCCAAACTGAAGGTTGTAAGAAAAACCTATACCAAAACATGTCGTACTATTTTTGTCTGTCGTCTTAGATCAAATAAATCTAATTTTTATGAAATCTGGCAAAACCTTTTGATAATTTGTTTAAAAAAGAACAAATTGAAAAATTGATCACAATCAGGTGTTCAATGAAAGAATAAGTTTCTTTAACTGTTACTTATTTCAGAGGCTTATACGATATAAATTATTTCTACCGAAGATCAAAGTAAACTCACTTCCTTTTCCTTTGATATGTCCCGGAAAGGGATATATTTGAATGAAGTTAAGTGGTTTTGGCTACTATAACCAAGTACAATACGGTAGCAGTAATCGACTGTAGTCATAGGTAAGAAGAGTAGATCAATGGTATAGTTCAATGGGCGTCGTTATAGACTTAGCTCTCAGACTAAGGCTCTCTTTTCTGACTCTCCTACACGTCCATCGATATTTATGATGGACACCAGCCAATCACATTCCAGTGAGAGGGAACACAGGTGTATGCATATTCCATTATATCATCTTTTAAGGCATTTATTTTCATTTATTGAAATACAAACAAAGAAATTCTTTGCAAATGAAATCATGATCAGTTCCGTTCATTTATTTGGCTTAAATTAGTTAGTAACTCCAAAGATCAGTGTAAAGGTTTTGTGCCCCATCTCTATGATACGGGGCCCCCAACTCCGCTACATCTCAATTTTCATAGGGTATATAAAATATAATTTTTTACTACCTGATAACTATATATAATAATTTATTATATGCAATATATGTGAACAATTCAACTAGAAAAATTGCAAATAAATATATTTATATAATGTATCTAAATACATATTAGAGACATCATCTCATAGATCAGCAATGTTTTACAGCATTTTTTAACATCAACTTGAAATTTTTCTTGTTAAACTGTTGAATAATTTTAACACATTCAACACTGTCATTATGGATAAAAAAAAATAGTGAATTTTATATAGTGTTGTAGACTAAACGAAGTTAGCTGTTTCAAATCAAATGACAAAAATAAATACAAAGGCTTAAATTTTCAAATTAATAAAAATAAAGAATAACCAATAAAATCAGCTCCCGCGAACAAATAAACATAGGCTTCTGGAGCCTATGCGAAGCAATATCAACCAGCCAGCCATTCAACTCAGAAGAAAGACTGACAGCAATAAAGAGACATGAGTCAACCTCATTATCCGGTCTTTCTCACCAAATCAACGGTGGATTCCATTTGCTTTTGTCTCTCAATTCCACTTTCTCTCTTCCTCACTGGAAGACAATTTATGTTCATTTCCTTTTCAGTCAGAGAGAAGAATTTTCTAAAAATACAAACTTTTATTCCATGATAGTGGTTACAGTTAAAAAAATTGTGTATTTTACGTTGAATAAATATTGTCATTTTATGTGAACAAGCAGCAATACTACTTTTTATTCAACAAACATTACCCAACAATGTCTTTTCGAGACTTAGTATGAGAAAAACAAATTTATGGATTTGGAAGGAAAAAAAAAAAAAAAAAGACCCTAGAATGACGTCAAATTCGCGAAAAAATTTTTTCCTGAAGTCAGTTGTGCTTAGTTTAATTTGTAATGTATATAAAATGTAGGTAGAAAAAAGGAAATCTTGATAAGATAACGAGGGTCACAAATTTTAATAATTAAAGGATTAAAACTTTTTGCAGATTTTGAGTTTTTTTCTTTCGGTGCAAATCCATGAATTTGTTTTGCTCATGCTAATTTTCGAAAAGACACTATTTAAAATAAAATTCACCATTTTTTTTTAAATCTATAATGTTGAATGTGTAGTGTAACTTATTTAACTTTTTAACAAAAAAAAAAAAATTCAAGGGCTAATTTGCAGTATAGGACCCGCACTCAGTTTCTGTTAAAAATTTCCTAAATTGTTACATTTACGTGTAAATGTACATGCTTAATTCGAAAATAACGATAAAATAATTTGATAAAATCTACCATTTTTGACTTACTGACACTAAAATTTCGGACTCATTTGCGTTGTTGGTGGCTACGCCATTACTGACGTTGTTTGCAGACATTCGCTGTTGAATAGACATGCGCAGAAGATTACCCAGTTAACGGAATTTTTACTGATCTTACTTGTTCCAATTACTGCGCAACAGAGGATTCATTGTGTGCAAAATAATCAAGACAAGTGAATTTCTATTATGCAGCAAATGTATGCAAATACCAGTAATGGCTGCCATGACGCGAATGAGTTTGGACTTTTACTGTCAATAAATCCAAAACGGTAGATTTTATCAAATTATCGTTATTATTTTCGAATTAAGCACGTACATTTACAAGTAAATGGAAATTTTTAATAGAAACTGAGCGCAAGTCATACACTGTAAATTAGCCAATTCAAGTCGCTGTTAAAAATTGCTGCAAAAGATTGTTGATTTATTTAAGATGAAATGATGTATTATAATTTAATTTAAGAACCACGACTAAAATATATTACGGGTCCATATGTATATGCATTATCGAAGGGTAGGAATGTCTTTGAAGTAATTACTCAATCTTAAAATATTCCGTTCGTTTATGAAGTATAAAAGAGGTGAGGGAGAAAGGTAGAGATAATAATAATGATCGGTTGATGTTTGTCAAGGGACTTCTTAATACGCTCGTCTCCTTCTCTCTGGTGACAGGCGAACTTGCCTATCTTTTATTTTGTCTGTGGGGCCTGCAAAGGTCATTTGGGAATTCACTCCTGGATATGATTCGGGACTTTTCATGGGACAATGAACAAACTTCGCATCGGCTCGCCAAAAGGTCCGTAAAAGAATTTGTTTCTGAGAATTGAAGATTATTTGAATTTTTAAAAAAAATGTTTCCTAGTTTTCTTTTGACGAAAAAACATTTCACATCAAGGTGTGAAATTTCACGAGTTTTGTTTTGGATTCGTTTTTGCGTGTGTGTTAAGCAAAGTTTGTAAATTCGAGTCTTTTTAATTTCTAACAAAATCAATGAGTCAGTGCTTAGCATTTGAATTTTATATCTAGATCTTGTTTTGTTCACTACAAGCCTTTTCATGTGGGAAAGCCGGGACAAATTTTCCACATTTTACTCAAAATAGAGAACTGCCCACTCTAACCTTTCAAGCTGTAGTTGCTTTTTTCAATTTTGTCACATTTTTAACCTCCACCCTTTCAAGTGGGAAAGCCGGGATAAATTTCCCAGAGATGACATATCTCTAATTTTAATTTATATTTACATTACTAATAATGTATTTATTTTCAATTTTTCTAGTTGAATTGTGCACCGACGATCCATTACATTTTTAAGTTAAAATAAAAATTGTATTTTATCATAAAATACAATTTTAATAGATAAAATTAATAAGAAGAAAATAATAAAAATAAATAAAATTTTTATATGAATACGAGTACTTTACTACCTTATGAAAATTGAGTTGAGATGTAGTAGAGTCGGGGCACAAGTACCGACGATAGTGCTACTAAATACTAAAATAAATATTATAATTTGAGCCAAATAAATGAACGAAATTGATTATAATTAGATTTCATCTGATTTATTTCAATAAAACAAGGATAATGAAACTAAATTACTTTAAAGGAAGTGAGTATACAAACTTTCATTTTCAGTATAAATAACTTAAGCGAATAACGATTAAAAAAGAAACTTATTCTTTCGTTTGGCATCGATTTTTTAATTTGCAGCGAAGAATTTACTTCTCTTTTTTTTTTAACAAATTATCAGAAAGATTTACCAGATTCCGTAAAAAAGTTAGATTTATTTAAAATGGCGGAAAATAATCAAACGACAAGAAATAACACCACAAACTTTAATTATCATGACATTGACAACAACCCCAGTTACACTTCGACAACGGTAAGAATTTCGTTTTCCTTTTGGGGGAGTCGGGAGCACTAAAAAAATTAGAAAAATTCTAGAAAGGACTTTAAGCAATAATGACAATGTCTATTGCGGAAAGGGTAGCCTTTAAAACTTGTTTTATTATTTTTAAACAAGAATTCATTATTATTACTACACTACAGCTTCACTATAAAAAAAAACAAAAAAAAACACTTGTCATTGCTTTTCTAGATAACTTAAACAAATAAAAGAAAAAAAGAAAAGCTTCCTTTTCAAAAGTGTCTAAAAAGACTTCTTTAGTTTTGCGTAGTAACTGAGACGAGTAAAGATCAGTAAAAAGACCGTTTACTAACTAAGCTTCTGCGCATGACTCCGGGGATTAATCTGCAAATTTACCATTTTTCTTTAGACATAGACCTTTCGTTAAATACAGTTCGGACCTGGAATCAAGATTAAATATTTTTTTATGTAAAATAAACGAATTGAAACAAAACAACCAAATACACTACACAGGTTATTCATTGTTATCAAATAATATCCACTGTTCCGGTTATCCTCTTCGTTCAAAACATAAAGTGAAAAAAAACTAAGTCAATTCCTGTGTTATACAAAAAAAAAAAAAAAAGATTACTACCAAAAAAATTCAAAGTTTTCCGCAACGAAAGCAAAAACAGTCGACACTCCCGTTTTTTAAAATATTTGTCAAAAACGAGGAAAACTATCCGATTTGAACGAAATTTTCAAGCCTTATTCACTGATGATGGAATATTTTGAATAGTTTTATTAAAAAAAAAAAAAAACTAAAGAAAGGGTTTCTTTTAGTTTTAGTGGGTATGTTTGACACCCAATTTTTTAGTTACCAAATATACTCGAATAAGTGAGATTTACTTTGTCAGGTTGTGACACAGGGTCAGTTTTTAACGTGGGGACCCGAATGTTTTCACTCGGGCCGCAGGACTAAGCTGGTCTTAGCTTGTCAGAGCTGGTCCAGGCGAGAGCCGGTCCAAGCTAGTCGTAGCCGTGATACTACCAGTACACTGAGTACAGGGACGGACCCTGTGCCAAGGTACTCCAGTAAGTGCAAGTTTTTGTAATTAGTCTTTTTTACGAAAAAAAAAAAAAAAAATAGGGGGTCGCATTACACAGGTAAATTTTACAACAGAAAGAGAACTCTGGGGAAATACTTTTTTGGGTACTTACATTTCACACCCCATCATTTCAATATTGCATGAGTAAGTTTTAATTTTGGGGAATATTCGTCCATTCTTTTACAGTTTGAGTTACCCGATGAAAAAAAAAAGTATAAAAGCTCACACGAGTAGGGCGTTAAGTGCGAGTTTTTATGATCAATCTTTTACGCAAAAAATAGGTGGTCGCACATGGGTAATTTTTTTAAATTAAAAATCAGACATGAACGAAAACAAAAGTACGGTATCTAAATCTTCGCATCAGATATTTTATTTTTTTTACGGCAAGTTTTTTTTTTCTTTTTTCACCATTATCTTTCATTTTCAGGTAGCTTTGTACAAAAAAAAGAAAACCGTTTTTGCTACTGCAATATTTGACTACGGTAAAGAAAGATAATTGCTTAGAAGCTGGGGTCACGACATGAGCTATATATGAAAAAAATCAGGTTTTCTCACGTAAAAACAAGGGTTGCTTGCACTACTAATACTAAAAATAAAATAAAAAATAATAATGGGTAATTTGCTTTTTAAGCCCTGCGCTATATATTTATTCAAATTTTCCGAAATCGTTATATTTCCGTGTAAATTTACATGCCGAACTCGAAAATAAGAATTAAATTTTGATAAAATCTATTATTTTAGAGTTATTGACAATAAAACTTCGAACTCAGTTGCGTTCATTCATCCGTCATTACTGGCCTTGTTTAACTAAATTTACTGCGGAACATTTTGCACGCGGAAGCTTAATTAATGGTCTTTTTACTGCTCTTAACTAATAATATTTAACAGCCTCTCCCACGAGGGTGTATGTGGCACAAGGCCGGTTTATTGTGGGTACTGTGAGCCCGTAGGCTTGGCAAAAAATATACCCTTTGAACCCGCCTAAACGGGTTCACGGACTATCTACCTCCCCGGACGAAACTTTGCCCTGCGGCAAAGCTTCCTCCGGGTTCCTCTATGCCAAAGGCAGAGAATTAGACAGGAGTTGCGAACAGCCTCAGTGGAACAGTTTCAAGGTCACTGCTCTTAACTTATCTAACCCGTCTAAATTACTGCGCACTTAAGTTGTATAGAAAAGTAATGACAACTTTTTTTTTATATAGTAAAACTTTCTTTTTAAATTTAAAATTAAATAATAAAATAAAGCTTTTTTTAAAATTAAAAATAAAACAAATGTGCAAACTTTTTAAAGAAAGAGCATGATTATTTACAAAATACAATTTTTAAAAAATGCTAGAAAGGAAATAATTCATGTGCAAACTTTACACGAACTTTGAAAAGAGGATGATTATTTTTTTTTTAAGTGTTTCACCCCAAGCAAGACGGGAAGCCACTAGCATGCAAGGGGTTACAGAGAGTTGGAGCTAGAGCAAATAGGAGTGATAGAGGAAAAGATGAAGAGAAGGATAGGGGATAAATCAGGACATCTGGAGGTGTTGATTGACATTACATTTGAATAGATGGAGATTATAGCTATCAGGGAAATAGGAAGAGAGTAAGGAGTTCCACAGGCAAGAGGTGCGAGACATGAAGCTATTGGAGTAGAAGAGACGGCTACATTTAACAGTTTTGACAGTGAAAGGGTGTGAGCAAGATACCAGCCTAGTAGAATGCTTAAATTCATGAAGTTTAGGAACCAGCAAAACAGTTCATCGGATCAGTTACCGTGAAAGTATTTGTAAAAAAGACAGAGGGAGGCGACGGCACGTTTGCGAGAGAGCGACTGCAGACAAGATGCCAGATCAGGGCTAATTATGTTGCATATTCTAGGATTTTTTTTTATTTTATAAATAATTATGCCCTTTACAAAGTTTGTGCAATCTTTGCGCATTAATTATTATTTGTCTTATTTTTACTTTAAGAGAAAAGCTTTCTTTTATTATTTGTTTTTTTTTTTTAAATTTAAAAAGAAAGCTTTGTGATAAAAGAAACAACAATTGTCATTGCTTTCCAACACAACTTAAGTGCACAGTAATTTAGATGAGTAAGATCAGTTTAGTGCAGTAAAAAGACCGTTAATTAAGCTTCCGGGCGCAAAATGTTCTGCAGTGAATGTAGTTAAACAAGGCCAGTAATGGCAGATAAATAAATGAGACTGAATCCGAACTTTTATTGTCGATAACTCTAAAATGGTAGATTTTATCAAAATTTAATTGTTATTTTTGAGTTCAGCATGTATATTTACATGGAAATATAATGATTTGGGAAATTTTTAATTGATATTTAGCGCGGGGCTTTAAAAGCAAATGACCTGCAGTATTAAAGTTCTTTGGTTTGAATTCTTAAGCGTTTTGAGCGTCTTTGCACTATTTTTAATCAAATTAAGGAGTAGCCAAGACAGGCAACTGCTAGTCGAAATATTTCCATAAAAATAAATCATTCGTTGGAACTACAAGTATTTCTTTTAATTATACCTGCAATATTACTGTATTCAAGTGTGAACATACAGAAAATTCGACCTGACTTTTGCCAAAATACAATTCAATAAAACTCAAAATTTTTCTTTTTTTTTTTTTTTTGAGAATTGGTGCTTGCATAATTTAATAAAACACGTTGGTTTTTTTCTTTCAGTTTTGTCAGAAAAAAATCTCTAAATTTTTTTTTTTTTTAATTATTTGTAATATTTCAGTACAATTTTGAAATTCACCCCATTGCTGTTTGTCACAAAATTTTATTTTATTAGATAAAGTCATGTTTGAAGATTTTAAAAAAATGTAAATAATGTCATTTTCAAGGGTGAACCTCTTTTAAAAGAATTTTATTTTATTTTTTCCCTTTAGCAACTTGTATGGATTTTCAAAAACAAAATAATTCTGATTTTTATATTGATTTTTTACAACATTCTAACATTTCTTTTTTATTATAGAAATAATTTTTATAGTTTAAGCTAAATTTTTAGCTTAATGTAGTTTTGCTATCTGTATAGTTTCTGGACACAAAAAAATTCATTTTTCTTAAAAGGATTTTTTTTTTTTTTTTGGAGTGATCCTATAAGAGAGAATGTCATCTCTTATCCCAATTATTTATTACAAGACATCAAAACAATATAACACAATACAATTTTTACAGAATAAGCTTGCACAAAAATTTCCTTTTCTGCACTTTTTTAGTTTAGAAAAGGCAGATAACAGATCAAAATGCTCTTAAAAAGATTTACATTACAATCTTCAAATAATGGGACAAAAAATGTTGAGATGGCTATACAAAAACTTTAGACCAAATTGAAATACTCTTTAAAATATGGCACCCTACTAATAAAGAGATGAAAGAAAAAAATGAAAAGGGGCTTTGGCAAATCCACCCATGTCATTGGAACTTTAACAATTTCTGCCAGGATAAGATGGTGAACCCACAGAACAACCGTTGGCTTGCTGTGTCCCCAAAAGATGTACCGAGAGTGATGAAAGCCAAATATCCAGTAAACTTAAACATCATGGTGTTTGGAGTGATCACTAGTGATGGCACTGTTATGCCTCCATTCATCTTCTTACCACAGGAACTCAGACTCACCACAGAGGTCTATATCAAGATGAGGAGATCCTATGTTTAGCAACAGGACTGTTCCATGTCACACAAGCAGGAGAACACAGTCATGGCTGTCAGACAATTTCTGTGACTACATCACCTCTTACACCTAGCCACCTAACTCCCCAGATTTGGTAAATATATCTTTTAAAATGAGATGCCAGTATTATTTTCGTTTTTGTGTAATTTAGATGACAACTACTACCAAGGTTTGACTTCTCTAACTATCAACTACAGAATCGAAATAGACTTTTACCTGACTGATTCCAAGATCTTAAAATGAACTTTCACTACCCCGAATTGAAAAGGACCTTTGATTCTGTTAATTTATTTACAATGTTTCCGATAAATATTCCTAGAAATCTCTGGCACTCTTCCACAATCTCTTGTCAAAAATTTCTGTACCTTCTGGTCAAAAATCATAACCTTCTAAAATTATCTGCTGACTCTTCTTGTATGAAATAGAAGTGGGTCTAGAAAAATCTTAACATTAAATTTACAAAGTTGGAAGCCACCCTTTTTTTTTAAATTTAAAAAATGAAATTTGACCTAATTATTTCTGCTGGTTCTTTTAGAGCCAATTCTAAATTTAAAAAATTTTACAGACAAATACATTAAATTTTATTTTTTATGAACTTTCTGGCTTTCTTTTAAATACACTTCCGTAAAAAGTAAGTGTAACAATAAACTTAAACATTTATTTATTTATTTTAGTTATTTACACTTTTTTATTAATTATTATTTTTTAATTATTTTCTATTACTAATAATTTTTTAATATTAAATAGGGATGAATTGGTTATTTTTTTATATTAAATAGAGATGAACTGGTTATTTTTTATATTTAAATAGAGATGAACTGGTTATTTTTTCCCATGGGAATATTTATTCATAGAAATTATTCATTTAAAAATGCTTATTTTTCAGAATGAAACTTCAAATACACAACGAACACTTCCACAATCTGCAATTTCCAGTGAGTCAAAAAAATCATTTTTTACTTTAAAATGGTTAAATAATTCTTTCAGAATTTTCTATTTTGAAATTTTTTTTTTTTTTAAAGTCATATGATAATCATTTTTACAATCTCAGAAATCAAATGTAAAAAATATCAGAATTAAAAATGTCAAAAATATTTTCAAAATATCCTTGTTAGGTCATGACACAAAAAGGCATTTATGATATTGTTCTGATTTTTCTAGATTTAAGTTCCTTTCTATAAAATTTCAGATCTTTTTTTTAATGATTTGTATTCACTGAATTGTGAAAAATCATAATATGATTTTATAATTAATAAAAAAATATCCATTTTATGAATAAGAAAAGAAACTTGCCATTTGAGATTTTTGTTTTTGATTCTGATAAATGCAGTCAGGTTTAATTTTAATTTATAAATATCATTGTAATAAGTAATTTATTTGCTAATTATGTTCTAAAAAGAAATTATTTTTTGCTTATCAGTAAACAGGGGAAAATCAGTTGCTGACTCAATAAACTTGACTTTGTAGGGAATTTGGTTGAAAACTTTCAAAATGAATTTATTTATCACATTATTATTTTTAAACTTATCTACAGAACAACGGGAAAAGAAACGTGAATACGTGATTAACTGTGTACACTGTGTAGTGTATGTTATGTCGAGGTTGCCGGTTTACAAGCATAAACAACATTTGAAGAATGGTCAAAGCGAATAATGATGACCAAGATTGGTATTATTTTTAAAAACATTTATCCCCGACTGCCGGATACCTATGGAGCACTTCTATTAACCCCAGGTTTAATACCTCGTCCGGAGACTCCTAATGGGGGTAGTAACAAATAGATAAAGGGACATAAGTGATCTGGGAGGTAACAGTTTTAGGAGAGGGAGGCAACTCGTATACCACAATAGTGTGTAACTCAGTTGAAACTAAAAGTTGGTTTGCCTGGGGATGCGTAACCAACTGAATCGGCCAAAAAGAAAGTTTGATTTCTTTCCATTTGTACAGTGTAAGAGAGTTGTCGGGACCGGAGAAGAAGTCTCTTATATCCGGGTTTCGCTTATATCCGGGTTTGGTCTATTTTGTATATACATTAACACAGGCTCTAATCTGGGACCAGAGAAAATCTCTTATATCCAGGTCACACTATATGGCTTGCTTGAGTAACCTATCTTACAAGCTTCTATAAAGGGTTGGCATAACTCAGCTGTATTAATTTAAACATACTACTAGATTGGTAACTAAGTTTCACTGTTTTACTGTTGAACAAGTAGCCAGATGCAACCATACTGTAGTGTACAGTGTACACTGTAAGTGTACTGTAAGGGACCGAATTTCTGTTTCAAATTTTCCTTGATTCCATTTTCGCTTTTGGGAAATTTCATTTTCATCTATCCTCTCATTTCCACAGTTTGCTACTGTTTCTTAAAATATATTTGAAAATATCTTTTAGTGTGTGATGTAGAAATTCCTCTTCCATGACAACTGACTTAGTAACTATTCAACTCTATGCTAAATAGGGCAAATCTATCTTTTTGCTTATGTCACTACAAATCAACTAGACAACATTTTTCTCAGAAAATTGACAACCAACTTCCTTTTTTTTTAAATGTAAGAACTTTTGTTCTTAATTTTCTTTCATATCTTATAAGTATGAATATTTGTAAAAACAAATTTTAAGAAAATAATTTATGTCTATGTATGTTTATTCAATTTTGAAAGAATTTAAAAGAAAACGAATTTGAAAAAATATCAAATGATTAAATACTATGTTATTTATTATTAAAAATCATAAAAAAACAGGTTCCATTTCAAATTCATGATTTTTTGATCATGGCAAATTAGTCCACCTACTTATGTGCTAGTTTCTTTTCTCACATTTCTCACCTGTGGAACTCTTTTCCAGTTTCTTGTTTTTTATGAGAGGACTAGTGTCCTTAAGTAGTGCCACATATTCTTTAGGGAATACTCTGAAATTCATTGTGGAAGATGAAGCGGGTGAAAATTTAGTCTGAAATGTTTAAAAGGCAAAAAAATTGCAGACTGAGAGGGATTATTTAAAATCAAACATTTGTGCCTGCTAAAAAAATAGATGTCAAAAGGATGGTTATTCCCTTGAGACCCCTATTACTGTATACACTTTTGACTCCCTCAGAAATGTTTGTTATAAAAAGGGATGGTTAGAATTTTAATAAAAAACTCAAACATGTCAAAATGGGTTTATACATTTTCTTTATTCTTGAGAATTGACAATAAATATATTAAACACTATTTATTTATTTATTAGATTGAATAAAAAAAAATGTTTTCATAATTAAGTATGAATTGGTAAATAATAAATATTGCATTGTAGTTGGTTTACATATTTTGATAATTTTGTAATTTTTGAATAAAAAGGTTTCTTTTCAAATTTATTTCTTTATAAAATGGTAAGTAAATCTTTATAAAAGGTAAACAATAAATATCACATTTTACTGAGTTCATGTATTTTTACAATATGGTAAATAAACATTGCCAAGGGAGTCAAAAATATATACAGTAATAGCGTGATAGAAAGATCTAACAAAGATATTTTGAAAATATTTTTGGCATTTTTAATTCTGATATGTGACAGAAATAATCTGTGAAAAATATTATAAAGTTTAATGTACCTAGTTTTAAGTATACCTAAAATAACTAATGTGATTTCAGGCATTATTGAAGAGTTTAATTCTGGGAGTGGTGATTAAAAAATGTTGAGATAAGTGTCATTTGTTTGTGGCAACAACTGGTAAACTGGAGTTATGCTTCAAGTAATAAAATGTTTTTTGCAACTTGGTTTAACCAGGCAACATGTTATGATGTCTTCTAATCTGTAACAGAGAAGTTCCACCTCTATATTGTGTAATGATTGACTTAGTTGTCACTGAACTCTATGCAATTTTGCCTATGTTCATGCACCTCATGGAAATTAAGTTGTTTTATGCCCTTCATTGATCTGTGATTTCTTCAAACAATAATACAAGTTCTTATCTCTTTTGAGGTTTGTACCTGGTTCTTTTTATTGTGGATCTATGTCTGGACTCATCTTCATTTTACTCCATGTCAGATTTATGCAAACTATCCTTCATAGCTTCTTTAATACTATGTTCAGTTTCCCAATCAGAAACACTCATGCTTTCCTCTCTTTCTATTTCCTCCTGCTCTTCCGTCTTGACTTCTTCACCATTATATCTAGGTCTTTTTTCATCAGAATGAGCAAATAAATTCTGTCCACTTGTTGCTATTATCACCGTACTAAGCCCCTTTTATTCAATAAAGTTTTCTTTTTCTGGACTTGATTCTCTGTCTTTTTTTACCATATTTTCTCATTTGTTGAACAGGGCATTGTTATCAGTGATATAATTTGTCTTCTCCATCAGCGCAGAGAGACTTTAAATTCTTCCAGCAAGAGGGATAGTTCTATGTCACAGTACTAGTCTTGGTATGTAACTATTTATAGCTTCTCTGGATGGGAAAAATGCCTTCAACTGCATTTTCACCCTCTGCACCATGCTTTCTGCAATTCCATTCAATTACAAGTGGTTTGGTGATGTTTTATAAGGAAGGCATCCAATTTGTTTTTTTACCATTGGGCTTAGGGTGGAAAAATATATGAGTCTGAAAATTCAAAAGCAACATAAAGGCAACACAACACATAGTAAACTTAGCATCTCATTTATTTAAACTACCCAATGGATCCGTTTTGATCCCAGCATTTCCTAGTGGGACCAGAAGCCCTTACAATAATCATCATCATTATTGATGTTGTTATTATAACTTCCCCCTTCCTAAGGTAATTTATTTTCTTTATTAATTTATTTCTAACTTTTCCAAATTACAAAATAAATAATTACAAATGAAAGTTTATTTTTGTTACAGTCTGAGGGTGATAACTCACTCACTTTGTGAAATCAAACAGATATTTTGAAGTTTGTATTTTTTGTCCTCACCTTATTTTTCCAGTACATTCTCTTGTAATATTATTTGTTTGAAGATCCTTGCAATGATCATTATTTGGTTTACTTCTCAAAGATCTATTTTCAAAACCTGAAAATGAAATATGTTCTGTATTTCTTTGGAAATCTCTTTGATTAGTTGCCTCCATTTATGACCAGTCATCAGTGTTTGCTGATTTGACCATTCCCTCAGTGTTCCAGTATTTCTTTCTCTGATTTTATTCTAACCCTATCTGCTCTTTTTAGACTTAGTAAATTTCTGGCACCACAGAATCTGCTATAATTCTTTTCCATATTAGTTTCTGCTAGTTTGACACTTTCACTGATATGTGTGAAATTGGGCTATTTGGGTAATAATGTTTTTGAATGTAAAGGCAATGTGATTCTTACTTTTCTACCCATATTTAATTTAGTGGGATTGACACCTGTTGTTTGAATTGGCCTACTCTGGTATGCCATTAATGCTTGAAATGCATCTGATTGTTCCAAAATTCTCTTAGTTTTTTTTAACAGCACTTCCCTCTTCTCCATTTGCTTTAGGATAATGTAGACTTGATGTTATGTGTTTAAATTCCTAAATGTCTGCAAAATCTTTGAAAGTGTAACTTGAGAATTGTTTCCGATTATCACTGACAAGTTCAATATGAATTCCTTAATGTGAGAAGAAATTTTTCAACTTCCCTATCACGCATTTGCTATTTCTATATATCTTGAGAAATAATCTATTGCGGCAATATACTGATGTCCTTGGTGAGTGAAAATGTTTGTACCTATTCTTTGCCATGGACCTTGAGGAAGTGATGTGACATTTAATTTTTCCTTTTTATTTGTTGGATGGTGTATGTTACAAAATGAGCATTTTCTTTAGATACTCCTCCAACTCTTGAGATAGTTTAGGCCACCACACTGATTCTTTGGTTCTCTTTCGTCATTTGTTTAGTTCCAAGTGACCATTATGAAGTCTTGTTAATATTTTTGGTTTAAGTTTTTCAGGTATGCCAATTCTGTCCTGAAACCAGAGTAAATTGTCATGAAATGACGATTCATTCTGATTTACAAAATATGGCCTTATACCTTCTTTAATTCTTTTTCTTTGTGTGTCCATCCATTTAGTGTGAAATGTATTATTTCCTGTAATACACTATCCTATTGAGTAGCTATTTTTATTTAATCTAATATCTCATCTGATGCTGGTTTGGTTCTTGCCATGCAGTCTGTGTATATGCCAACATCTTTGCTTTATTGTCGGATAAAAGATTTCTTGGTGGTTTATGAGGTATGACTAGTGCCTTCCCTGGAATGTGTTCTGCTACTGGGTTATATCTTCACAGTATCATCAGAAGTCTTTGATATCGTAATGGGGTAATTATGTAACGGTGTAAATGGTTTATGGTCCATTAAGAGTTTAAAGGATTTGAGTCCTGTGACATATCTGTTAAATTTCTTCCATGCCCATACATGACTCAAACACTCTTTCTCAATGTCATGATATAGAGATGGGCACACGGATGGTAGGAGAAGTCACATTTTTTGTGCTGACTGAAATTGAAATAAAACGTGGAATGATGTGTCCAGTTGCTAAAAGATTGAGAAAGAAGTATCTGTTGTAGATTTACATTTAAATTTTTTTTTTTTTACTTTAGTTCACCTGATACTAAATCCAAGAGCCACCCAATGTAGAGGGTCATGGAATGATATATGATATGAATGCAAGAAAAGGAAGTAGGAAGTCAAGGTTATGAGGATATGGCAGATAACGATTTTTGTTTTGAATTTATTAATTTAATTAAAAAAAAGTTCTTCTGTCAATTTAAGTAATTCAGCATGACTTATTTTTTTGTGTGTGTGTGTGTGGGGGGGGGTGATGCTACAAAAAAAAAACCTGAAAAAATTTAGTTTGTATCTCTGCAGATTAACACAAACATTTATGAAGAAACTTTAGTTGGGATCCATTGAAATTCCCAGGGTTGCACCCAAATCACCACATGCAGATCCCAGGGACTCACTATATTAAAAGCCTATCAGCATCACTGCCAGGCTTTATCTTTTTATGTAACTTAGTATAGTGTAATGGGTTAGAGTACATATTAAAATGACATAATATTCAACTAAAATTATTTTTAATTGATTTTGTTATGAATTTTTTGATTTCAGCTTATCCGAAAACTTCCTATCCCAATGTCGCTTTTTATGAAAATAGAGTGAAAGCAGCACCAAATGGTAAGTTCTTTATTTTTTTATTTGAAGTATGAAAGTTAGTCAAAAAGTCATGCCTGTTTTTTGTTTTTTTTATTATAATAGATATAAATGTAGCAAAGAAATTATTCCCAAATGAGCACGAAAGATTCGGGTTTTAGAATCTAGCACTCACCATATTCTCCCTCTTTCTTAATCATTGTGCAAATGTCAGACAAAATGTAATGTCTGATCTTCTTTAATTACAACAGATTTAATAGTAGAAGCACTAAAAGCATACCAAAATGAAAACGGATGTCTCAGGATTCCAAATCTTTTCCTCAACATAGATTCTTTCTTTTTCAATTGTATAAGAGTCAGTCAAAATATAATATCAAAATGTAATGTCCGTTCTTTTTTAATTACAGCAGTTTTAACAGTAGAAGCATTCCAATTGTACCAAAATGAACACAAATTTCTTAGGATTCCAATTCTTGTACTCTAAATAGTGTCCTTCTTTTTCAATTGTGCTATTATGATTTGTCTAAAAGTAATGTCTGTTTTTCTTTAATTGCAATAGAT